CCCCAAAACCCCAAAACCCCAAAACCCCAAAACCCCGAGCCAGGTACTTATAAGGCTAAAATGTTATAATGATAACAATACTAAAAGAAAATTAATGCTAGTCAACGAAAAATACGATTGTGGAGCGATCATTGGAGAAGGATCCTACTCCCAAGTCAGGATTGCCAAAGATATCACCAATGGGCAGAACATTGCTCTCAAGTTGTTTAAAGCCTCCACAGAGGAAGGTAAATAAAAACCTAAAAGAAGCAAAATTGCTCTGCTCTTTCTCTCATAAGAATATCGTCAGGTTTTTGGAATGAGGAATTGATGTTGAGCTCAAGCAAGAACATATGAACAAAAATGTTAGCTTCATTGCGACCGAATTGGCTGAAAAAGGATCCTTATTTGACTATATAAAGGCTTCCCAAGGATTGAATGAACGGTTAGCCAGAACTCTCTCAGTGCAAATTGTAGAAGCAATTGAATTTTTGCACTCAAAAGGGATCAGCCACCGTGATATTAAGCCTGAAAATATTTTTCTCACCCAAAAGTTTGAGTGAAAAGTAGGTGATTTCGGGTTTGCTACCCAAAATATTACAGACGATACTTACTGAGGATCCTCTTGCTACATGGCCCCTGAGATCTACAAGAAGAAAAGGTACAACTGTCAAGCCACAGATATATTCTCCTTGGGTGTCTTTTTTTTCTTCATGGTTACCGGGAAATATCCATTTGCTTGAGCTGATGTGACAGATAGTAAATTTAAGGCAATTTTAACAGGCAAAACTTCACTTTTCTGGAGAACAGCACTTGGGTCTAAGAAAAGACTCAGCCAACTCTCTCCAGAATTCATTGAACTAGTGACTTTATGACTTTCCCCTGATCCTGTCCACCGTCCAACAATCTCAGAAATCTATACTCATGCATGGTTCAAGACTGCGGCTGAAGAATATTCATCTTCAGATAACGGAACCGTTTACTCAGATGAAATTTCATCGGAACTTCTGAACATCGAATCCGAGATTGATGATATTTCTGATACATTTATATCTTTCCACTAAGCGTGCAATGGCTTAAGACTAAAATAATACTTGACACGAATCAGGGAAGTCCTTTTATTTACTTTAAATGAACTAATTTCTCCTAAACTTGACCAAAATGAGAGTTCATTTCCAAGAGGAGTTCAAAGGTATTCCTTTTATCAGTGGCAACTTAATAAGTCCCTTAAGTTCATGGTTGGATGGCTATACTTGGCATCTAGCCTAGACCTGAGGGATACAATAATTTATAATCAAACACTTAATTCATTCAGCTATCCAGAGCTAGGGGTTTTGGGGTTTTGGGGTTTTGGGGTTTTGGGG